GGGTAACGGGAGGACACAAACTAGCGTCCTCCCGTTACCCTAGGCTCAGTATATAGGGAGCTACAGCTCGCGGTATGCTGAGACGCCGGAGTGGATCCCGACATCGATGTCGAGATCCGCCCAGCTGCGTGAGTGACAGCTGGCTCTGCATATCTAGAGGCAGAGCCAGCTGTACCCTCCCCCGTCCGTTCTGCCAGTCAGCGCTGGCAGATCGGAGCGGGGAGGGGGGAATCGACAGGACAGCCGTGACAGGATCGAGAGGTGAGCGAACCCGGTATGTGTTCGCTCACCTCCCGATCTACTGAGCCGACCTGTGACAGTCTCATTGTCACAGGTCGGCTAGATCTATGAGGTGAGTGAAAAGCACGCACCTCATACTTCTCCTTTAAAGCTGGCCATACACCTTACAACCATCCCGCGACTTTTTTGTTCTGCGATGGTTTGAGGTAATTAAAATTTCATACGACCTGCCCATCTTGGACAGGCAGATCGTACTTGCGATCATCGCAAGCCCTCCCCGCTGAGCGGAGGGTTTGCGTTGATTGCTGAGCGGGCAGTGTGCACTTGCACACACCGGCCCATGCGGCATTCGTCTCCCGAGCACGCCACCAAACCGCCAAAAATCGTACTATTTTTGGCAGTTTTTCAAGTGTGCTGGGAAGACGAATGTCGTGCGATTGTCCAGTAGAAGAGGTCCCACGCTGCCCATACACCTGCTGATTTTCCTACGATCGGCAGGTGTATGGGCACCATAAAGGTGCCCATATACCTTACGACCATCGCAAGACTTTTTTTGTCTTGCGATGGTCGTAAGCTTATTCAAAGCTCGTACGATCTGCCCATCTTGGACAGGCAGATCGTACTTGCGATCATAGAAAGCCTGCCCCGCTCAGGTGTCTCCTTTGCCTTGCGGGCTCCTATGGAGTCAGCTGTTTGCGAGGACTACAGCCTGATGTGAGGACGCTGTGTGTGATGTGACATATAGACAGCCTGAGAGAATAACACACAGACGTGGCTCTGCTCCTCCACGGAGCCGCAGTGAGTCGTTTCCCTTGGAGGAGCAGAAGTGCGTCTTCTCTGCGTAGCCCGGGCTCCCTCTGCATGTTGCCTCACGCAGCAGTCTCATGACGGCCATATTTTTATGAACTTTAAGAACGATGAGACTTGTAGTCCTGAGGAGTGTAATCGAGTGATGTTAGAAGTGCGCACTTTCTAGCTGGTAGTGTGGCTACCAATCATAAAGGCGAGGCTTCAATACTATTCTAATGCTGCTGTGTTTATGTACGAAGCAAACGTATGACGCCTAACGTAACTTGTTCTTCTCATAGATGTATTTGAAGATTTTATCTCCCCCACCACTGCGGCCCAAACGTTGCTGTTCACGTCTTGCAGTAAAAGGAAAGAGGTACGGCCTGGATGAGCTGATGCTGACTTCCTCAGTCCTGTCTAATCTATGCACACTCGTGGGGGGGGCTGCCTCTCAGTTCTCGAAGTCTATGCAACATTTATTTTGTGTTTTTATCCCCGGTGCCTGCAATCGCCGGCAGCCAACTGAGGCCGATTTGCACAGGTCTATGACAGATTTATAATTTTAGAGATTTTTTTTCACTCTAAAGTGAGCGGGCCCTTTAAGTGATTATCACTGGAGGTATTATGTGGCCTTTCATGGTGTGTGATCATTGTGATTGATGATCACATGACTGGGAGCCCATCATACCTGCTCCTGACCGCTGCTAAGTGCCCAGGAGCGGTCGGTGACTGCGCGGTCACAGTGCTTGGGGCGCTCAGTTGAGTGCGACAATGCCGGCCGTACACACCTGGTAGCACAACATAAAGCGGCTCCGCCGTTCAGCAATATAAGTGCATGGCACGTATACAGAACGTTGCCGCAAGTCAGTCTGTGTTGGTTGTATAGCATTCCTAACGGTCTATCCCACAAAGTGTAGTACATAATACATGGAATGAGAGTGACTGCTAACAAACATCACTGACACCAACCAGAACTCTTATGTGAGCCCATCAGCTTCCAGAATAGACCAACCCAGAAAGAGCCTGAACTCAAGGAACCCGGTGCCAAACCTCTCCCAGGAATTGTCTGAAAACTTCCTGCAAGTTAACTGTCCCGGGGTCTGTTTGGAATTCTCCCTTTTTTGTAGATCGGATCTGTAACTCTTTCTATAGTCGGGTTTTATCTGAAATTGATGAACGCGAGAGAAACACCAGACATTTCTCCAGCAGGTTGGTAATATCGGTATTTGTCTTCTCAGGTGTTGCAGAAAACGATGGGATTTTGTTACCAGATTTTAACGGAGCCGGCTGCAGATCCTCGCAAGAAAGACGGCGCCCTCCACATGATTGGATCCTTAGCAGAGATTTTACTGAAGGTAGGTGAGACGTCTGACTTTGAACCCATTGACCTCACTTTACTGGAGTAAGCAGCCCGCAGGAACACGGCCTCCCCTCATTGGAATAAGCAGCCCGCAGGAACACAGCCTCCCCTCATTGGAGTAAGCAGCCCGCAGGAACACGGCCTCCCCTCATTGGAATAAGCAGCCCGCAGGAACACAGCCTCCCCTCATTGGAGTAAGCAGCCCGCAGGAACACGGCCTTCCCTCACTGGAATAAGCGTCCCACAGGAACACAGCCTCCCCTCATTGTATATAAGCAGCCCACAGGAACACAGCCTCCCCTCATTGTATATAAGCGTCCCACAGGAACACAGCCTCCCCTCATTGTATATAAGCGTCCCACAGGAACACGGCCTCCCCTCATTGTATATAAGCGTCCCACAGGAACACGGCCTCCCCTCATTGTATATAAGCGTCCCACAGGAACACGGCCTCCCCTCATTGTATATAAGCGTCCCACAGGAACACGGCCTCCCCTCATTGTATATAAGCAGCCCACAGGAACACGGCCTCCCCTCATTGTATATAAGCAGCCTGCAGGGACACAACCCCCGTCATGATTTTGGCCAGCCATGTTCTATTAAGTATATGTACTCTTCTAATCAGATGGAGACATGGAATACACATTAGTTTATGGAACTGCTGCAAAGTAAAATGTAGTTTTCATGGCAGTTTACTGATTTACATAGGTTTGGTTTGCTGAGCTGTAGCTTGTTCAGTTGCTCTAGAAGAGAGAAAAGGTCCCTTTTCGAAAGTGACTTCACAGAGTGAGACCCTCGGGGGGGGCAAAGTGGACACCGAAAGGTTCAAGTACATGCCCTCCTTGCCCAATTCTGTGGCTGGGACCATGAGACATACCTGATATGTCTGTGTATGGGACATCCAACACTCCTGTAACCCCCACAATTCAGTGCTTGAAAAGTGGATCTTTAAAGGAGAACTATGGGGTCGGGGCTTTTCCCCATAGTTCTCCTTAGGGTAACGGGAGGACACAAACTAGCATCCTCCCGTCACCCTAAGCTCATTATACCGCGAGCTACAGCTCTCTATATACTGAGGCGCCGCAGCAGTGAAAATCACTCGTTCTCATAGTTCTCCTTTTAATATCTTGTTAATGGGAGGGGGGGTGTTCTCTGTGTACATTGTGTCTGCTGTGATTTTGTGGCTTTTAACGTGGTTTTTTTTTATTGCTACAGAAAAAGATTTACAAAGACCAGATGGAGTTCATGCTGCAGAATCACGTCTTTCCTCTGTTCAGCAGTGAGCTGGGTTACATGCGAGCCCGGGTAATGATTCTTGTCCTTTTCCTAATGGCACACTGCAAGCCTTTATTAGAATTTCATTGTGTTTTTGATTGTAAGACTTTTTCAATGTTGCCTCCTATTAACAAAATCATAATAGGTGATCGAATGTAGTTATAAAAAGAGGGGGCTGCGAGGGACTCTCTGGTGGGGCTGCGAGGGACTCTCTGGTGGGCTGTGAGCACTCTCCAGGGGGTCTCAGTAGGTGCAGGCAGCGTGGATCCACAGGAAGGAGGAGATTTGCTGCCGACACTGTAAACGGCCGCCACAGTTCACAGGAAGGCTGCCGGGACCTCGGCAGCCTCCCTGTGAAGCCCGGTGCATGTTTACAGAGCCGGCTTCATTTTTAAGTGCCGGTATAGTCTCCGATATCGCTGCATCCCTAGTCAGTATAGCCAAAGTGTTCTGTCCTCCTCTCTGCTGCCGACTGTTGAGACAAGGTGGGGGTGGAGACGAGGGGGGGTGTTGCAGGAGAGGTGCGAGGGCCACATAAAATGGCCTGGCGGGCATTGTGTTTGATCCATGTGCTTTACATGGTGCCTTTGACACGGAGGGAGCAGAAACAAGCTCCATTCAGCTGGCACCTTCACCCACAGATGGGACAGACTCTGGACTTGGGAGCGGTGGTCGTTTTTAGTTTTTTTTGGGCAGTGTCGGGTGTCTGCTGTGGCAGCGGTGCAGTGTGCGCAGTGTCAGTCTGTGTCTGGTGGAGCAGTGGGTCAGTGTGCTGCTGGTTCTCTGCTTTGCTCACACACATCCCGCTGCCGGAGATAAAGGTGAGATCATAGTACTGGTCTAGTGACGTCCGCCGGACACTCTCTCCGCTGGCCAGCCTCCAAACTCTCACACACTCTGCACGGCGTCTATGGAGTATCATGAGGCCCATCTGTCTGTTACCGACATTTATTAACTCTTTGGTTCACCCAAGACCTGTCCTCTTCTGCCCTCATTCAGCCGGTTTCATACGCTGCCTCTGTTCCTCCGGCAGGCCTGCTGGGTGCTTCACTACTTCTGCGAAGTGAAGTTCAAGATTGACCAGAACTTGCAGACGGCCCTTGAGCTGACCCGGAGGTGTCTCATAGATGACCGGGAGATGCCGGTGAAAGTAGAAGCCGCCATCGCGCTCCAAGTTCTCATCAGCAACCAGGATAAAGGTAAAAAAAAACTCACCCAAAATGATTCTAAAGTCTTTCAGAAGAGCAGATAATGGGCCGAGACGTCTGCTGCTCCCTATAAAACTTTATTGTGCATGAGATCTTTAAATCCCTAACTTGATTGACAGGCCAGGGAGCTCCTGATCTGTCCCGCCCACCATGACATCATACCTTGATTGACAGGCCAGGGAGCTCCTGATTTGTCCTGCCCACCATGACATCATACCTTGATTGACAGGCCAAAGCTCCTTGTCTCACACCTTCTGGAATCCCACATTGACGACCATGGACAACTACAATTCCCATTGCGTGATGGGAATCTTTAATCAAAGGTCAGATACTGAAGACTATTGCCGAGTTCATCTTTAATGTAATCTTTTTATTTTTGTATTTTGACTTTCCCTATTATAAAGAGAAATGTTACTGCAGATGCAGGAAAATACCAGTCGAGCTGCCAGAAATCCAGTGAGCTGCAAGCTTTGTTTTGAGCCGACAACTCTGCCTCTGCTGCGGTGAAATTTAAAGCAGAGTGGTCAGCCCTGGACTTCAGAACCTCTCCCTTGTGTTATGGAGATGGGGAGGTGTCCTGTACTCTTTAGGGTGACAATGCTGCTCCTCCATACCCAGTGCACTGAGTGAGCGTTGTCACCCTAACAGGAAGTACTGGTCGGATCACCAGGTAGAGAATAAAGCCTGAAAAAAACTAATGCAGCCACCACATCTAAAGGACCAGTAAGCTGCAATCTATTACTGTTCATGGATTTAGATTCTGCTTTTAAAGGGTCTAATTATTATCATTCAGGATTTATACATATAGCGCCAATAGTTTGCGCAGTGCTTTGCAATATAAGGAAGACATTACAAGACAAGATGGTAAGGAGCCCACCATCTAAATTGATAAAGGTTTTCACCCAGGATACACACAATTTCTAAATTGAATCCAGTTAGAAAAATGTGTGAATCTTGGGTGAAAACCTATAGATCCCTACGTCTCCCTTGTAGTGCTCGCGCTTTAAAGGAGAACTATGGGGGGGGGGGGGCGTG